TCACGCTSAACAGCTTATAAATATCTATATTCAAATGTCGATAGCTTTTCTTGTTTAATCAGTTTATTGATACGAATTTGGCCAATTTTYACTYTTTCAACCAAACGTTATTTGTTCTTTCCTGGATTTTATATTCGGCTATTAAAAATTCCAGATTATTATTATTTTTTACTTGCCTATATMGCCAGATGCACTTTAACGCCTTCTCGAACAAAAGCCTAGCAGGTACGGACTTATAACAATGAACATCAGCACTTGTAAACAATACGTGTTTACAATGCGACTTWAATGTAATGGATTCACGAAGTGACTTGTGGTTTGTGGRCAAGTTGTCGTCAAATATAGAGTTTGTCAGTCATCATAMGTGATTTTTGGGGTAAAATAGAAATGGCCCATTACTTGAATTCAAGCATTCATAGATTGTTTTCCAAAATGGCATCACGATATATATCTTTGAGGAGTGTTTTCCTGCCAGAATTTCGGATTTTGTTCCATTGTTATTAGTTCATGTAAATATGATTCAAACTAATAAATCATTTTGAGATTTCTATTGACATATGCATATCTCTTAGTTGCTTTCAAGTTAGCATTATGTTATCAGAATTGTTGTGAAGTCTACAAATCAAGAATATGCCCAAGAAGACGACCTTCATGCTCAGTATTTCAACTTAAAAATATACAATATATCAATCTTATTTCCTACCGTCTTGGCGTTAAACGTTTAAACGTCTTTAGACGTATATAAATTCTTAGGATATGTAGCTACTCCAGCTRATCGATTATAAAAACGTTAAATATAACCTATATATTGCTTGATTAGACAGAACATTTACATGTTGACCTTAAAAAATTATTCTAGAATGTTTGATCTGGAATTATTGATCGCTAAAAACTCGAATGGTTGTTATCAAGCGTTTAGTTCGATAGATGGAGTCAATTAACGTATAGATTTTACCGTAACAACCCCCTTAACTTACCTCACAGAAACATGAAGCGGTGTGAGTTGATAAATACCTCCTCTTGTGTCTGGATCRACTCCAGAGTCCAACAAGAAACGAATAATTTCAACATGGTTTGCGCGAGTKGCATGGTGAATRGGGGCAAAACCATTACTGTCTTTWTCTTCTAAGTCTTCTCCGTTTTTCTTGAGATTCCTTAGGATCTGCAAACGACCTTCGCGAGCAGCCTGGAAGACACTGATATCCTCGGAAATCAGATCAAATCGCTTCAGWCGTATGGACTCGGAGCGGTGGCAACTTGATCTTCCTSGAGTCCGGATTTTAATTTCAGGGCTTCCATCGCCTTTACTGTTGTTCATGGGTAAAAGCTTTTCATTGACACCGTTSTYCTTCATGTTATTTTTAGCCATAGCAGATTGCTCTTCTCAATGTAAACACATTTTGAACTTTACCTTCAAAAGACCGTTKGTGTAACGCAACTGGCGTGTAACGTAGCTCTGTATGCAAATGAGCAACTTAGCAACCGTGCTCCTGCGCAAAGACGCTATGTTGTTGAAGTCCTTTTGAACCGCACATCAAAAACGTCTTTAGTCTTATCCCGGTAAAACCTTAATTTGTCGTCTGGCTAAATATTTGACAAAAGGCCATGATCAACAAGCATCCTTTGCGAGCTTAAAATATGTTCATGTTTCGAAAATAATCATTATCTTATGATGGAGATATTATAACATTCCCTCGTAAAAACCGACGGAATGGAAACGGATACGGAATGGATTTTGAAATGAAGTCATTTTCCATATAAAAAAAATCTAAAACACAACCGGATTGAATGCTGGGGGGCATTGGAACTTTGATTTATGTCTGTYTCATTTGGAGCCGAGGGTCTTAAGAGCCCAAGGATTCAGGACGGTAGGCTGGTGAAGTGGGGGAAGGGGGGGTGGTAATTGTCCAAGAATGCTGTACGGTATTTGGCGACATCGGGCAACCTTTTTCGACCAAACCTTAAGAGTGTAATKGTAGTTTGGAGAAGAAAATTTAAAGCACTGAATCATGCAGTCGCGAGAGGATGACCGCTGGTGCACTTATTCGGCTTATTTTGAAAAGAGAAGCAAAGGTGGCCGCGAACAGGGTTGGGAGCTTGAGTTACAATCATTTATCCGGCAGTCACCAATGATAGACCTGCGATATGTAGCGCGCCTTAATTTTCTACAGATGAATGGGTGAACGGTGGTAACTCCCACATTTTTACAAAATCTGTTTTGATTGTACTTTTGAAAGACGTACGGCATTGAAGTACTTGTGCCCTCATCTCAACCACCAACAGCAACAATTTCAACTGCTCTATTGCTTTTATTATTCAACAACGTAATAGGGAGAACAACAAAGGGGACTGCGGGCTCTATGCACTGATAGTATCCCTGCACGGCGAGCACACTATTGTCATGTGGTCCACTTTCGACCAATGAGAGCAAACGTTTGAATCACATGACATGAATTGGATTAATTTTTATTATCACTTATGCACCATAATTTCACTCAAAGGCTTCCTTTTTAGGTCTGGTATGTAGGCATCTTTTGCAGGATAACCAACTGGTAACAGCAGTAGAAGCTTTTCGTTGGCCGGGCGATTCAGCAGTTCACGAAGCCTGGGTCCAGCATTCATGGGCGTACTTGTGACTGTTACCAGGCCAACGTTCTAGAAGAGAAAATAATGATAAAGTTGAACATGGTGAAATGGACAAAACTAGTGCAAATATGTTCAATGTGGAACATTTTCACGAGTCAAATTTTCACAAAAATCTTAGTATGGTCTAAAACCAACAAAGGATTATGGGACATTGCTCTCCTCGTAAACCGTTTTTCATTTTTTACACATTTTCACTACCTGGAAACGTCTTTTTCACTACCTTGAAACCTCTTTTTTAATCCCTGGAAACTACTTTGTCACTACCTGGATACTACTTTTTCACTACCTGAACACATTTTCTTACTTGGATTGCCGCTAGAAGTAGTCCACATGATATACAAACGCTTATTTCATTATAGTAGTGAACTTTCTTTTCCCCATCTGGCGTCCTTCCATAAACCTGTTTGAAGATGAGTATCAAGTATGGTGCATTGCTGATGTATGGTTTCGACCAAGTTGTCTTTAAATGCTCCAAGTCTTTAACCCATTTTTCTCCCATTCGCTTAGCGTAGTTGACGTGTTCTTCTTCTTCTACTATTTCACGAATCTTTTCCTTTAGTT